CTCTGTGCTGTGTGTACCCCAGCCCTGGGGTTCGTGCCACCCTCTGCAGTGGGGTTTCTGAGAATCCCCTGCACCAGGGCTTAGTAAAGTCAGGTGCCACCAGCTTTATCCTTTACTTAAACATCCATTGCAGCCTGGCCACACCTTGGTGCCCAAACTGGGCAGAAACACATCGAAGCCACCGCTGCCCCGGTTATCTGAGGAGGACAGGCAATGTGCACCTGCCCTTTCTATGTGCCAGGCGCTGTGCTAAGGGCTTTGATGCATGACCTCATTCTTCCTCTCCTTTTATTGTTATTAAAATAAGAGTAAGCAGATGAAGTAATTGAGGCTTAGTGAGGTCACAAAACCAGTTCATCAAAGAGGTAGAAATGCAAATCTAGGTTTGCCTGATGCCAGAACCCAGGCTCTTATCCAGGGCACCATAGCGTCTGCTCATTATCTGATAGCTTCATCTTTCCTCCATAAGTCATTGAAGACAAAACTCAGCTCCAGCAGCCCCTGGCTCGACAGCAAGGCTTTCTAGCACAGAAGCCCAGCCCAAGGCCCCAGCGTTGTCCCACACCCCCAAGTGGAGAAGCACATTCACAGCTTCACCAGGCCTAGCACGGGCAGGGGCCTGCGGAGGCAGCAGGGAGTGGGAGAAAGAGCACTGGCCATGCCAGAAAGAGGTGGCAATTCAGGCCTGGCTCTGCCTCCCACCAATTATGTCCTTTGGAAACACACTTAACTGCATGAGTCAGTTTTAAATTTTTATTTTATTTTATTTTATTTTATTTTATTTTATTTGAGATGGAGTCAGACTGGAGTGCAGTGGCACGATCTCGGTTCACTGCAACCTCTCAGGTTCAAGCGATGCTCCTGCTTCAGCCTCCCAAGTAGCTGGGATTACAGGCACCCGCCACCACACCCTGATAATTTTTGTATTTTTAATAGATACAGGGTTTTATCATGTTGGTCAGGCTGGCCTCGAACTCCTGGCCTCAAGTGATCTGCCCGCCTCAGCCTCCCAAAGTGTTGGAATTACATGCATGAGCCACCACGCCTGGCAGTTTTAAAATTTTAATGCGGTCATCTGGTTACTGTACATTTCTATGAAATACACTTGTATAAAATCCTTGGAAGCAATTTCACCAAGAACTCACTATCATCTTGGTCAGTCTCTATTTATGTAAGTCTATCATTATCTTATCTTCTGGAACATTCTGCGACAAGCTGGCTTGGCCTTCTCTCTTCCTTGGTAACTCGGCTTCTCTAGGTTAAAAATCTCTTTACTTGAGTTTTGACTTCTACCTCCTACTTTCTTGTAAGTTTCTCCTTTGTGTTTTAATGTCTGTGTTCTCTGTGACACGTGTGGAAATAATGATTTGATTCCCAAAGATCACTAGCCTTACTCTTCTCGAAGAGCTTTCTTTGCCGGTTTTTGTTTGTGTTTGTTTTGTTCTTAGCATGTCTGACTATTTTCTGGCATCTTAAAAAGAGAGCCGCGCTTCCTCGAGCCCCCCTTTTGTTACTGTGTTAATATCTTTCTATTCTGATGGGAGTTGTCTCATCCTGCCGTGGCCCCTGCCAAATACATCAGCTGGATTCTATTACTATCTATTACTTGATTCTATTACTATACACATATGTCTCGCTTTGACACATTGCACACTCGCGTTTTCCTTGCCCATAGTCCTCAGGGATACTGGCCCGTTTTCCTTTCTTCAGCACATCCAGTGGTGTGATCACTTACAGTCAAAGCAGCGCTTAGAACTCCAGTCCTCTAAACCCACTTGAAATATTTGGATTCACCTTCCTGTTGTGTTTGTTTCCCAAGCTAGAACATTTTCTCCTAAGATACGCCTGAGATTCCTTCCTCAGGGCATAGTTTATCCATATAGGATCCAGAGTTTTGCAACTCGGGGCAGCTCTTTTTCCCAGTGGCTGGCACCTTGAGCCCCAAACCTGATTCCTTCTCCTGTATATGGCCTCCTTTCCACTTCCTATGAAGATGGCACCAGGGTCTTCTCCTGCCGAGCCTTCTCTTTGCAAAGGGAAGGCCACTACTGATCATGCCTCGACTTCTCAGGAAGCCAGAGCTGCTCCGTGGAGCTCTCAGTGGAGACGCACCATGCTTCCTGCTGGGACATCTCACGGGATGACAGAGAACCCGCAAATGCTGCTCTGCCACGTCCCATTAGCAGAAACACCTGTTACAGCTTCTAATCCCTCTTCGCCTAAGAACTGAGACCAGGCAGGAAGCTTTGGGGTCTGGGAAAGGACACGCGGGGTGGCAGGGAGGCGTCCAGCTGGGAGTGGGCATCAGGCACCCCCCGCACCCCGCCCCTCTCTCACCATCAGGGGTGTGACTGGACAAAGCCCGGGCCTCCGCCTGTTTCTTCCCTCAGGGTGAGATCTCACACAGAACCTCCTTGGGCTCCATGCAAGAATGTCTGGGGCCTGGCAGGAAACATGACCTGTGAGCTCCTTGGCGGCAGAACTTTGCTGAAACCACCCTGAGGTCCTCGGGCCAGGCAAGGCGCTGACACAAAGTGGACTCTTAGTGAGCGCCAATTTGATGAATGATAAGGAAAGGATGGATGGCTGAATGAACGAATGCATGAATGAGTGGAATACAAAGTTCTGCCAGCATTTAAAGTCCTTTTTTTCCCCCTTACTGGTCCATTCTCCAAAACAGAGTCCACCTTCTCTGTGGGTCTGAAATGCACGTCAAACCTCATTTCCACAAATGTGGCTGCCTTCAGGTCTGTGCCGGACGCACCTCGGTGGAATTCATAAGAAGGTTCCCATGGAGAGCTTCCTTCCCTGGAGCCTGCGACCTGCAACCTCAGAGCCCCTGCTCCCGGCTCCCCTCCAGGAAGCCGTGTGTGAGCTCTAGTCCGTCCGTCCGTTCTCTTCTTTCCTTTGCAGGATTCTCCGCCCTAACCGTCATTCCTTCAGGACTCCCTGGAGCCAGGAATGGCAGGAGAATCTGGGAAAAGCAAGCGGCCCCAGAGAAGCCCTTTCTCCTCCCCGTTCCTTCTCATTTCCTCCCTTCTTGCCTCCAGTTCTCTACCAAGCTCCCCTCGCGGCAGATACTCACCTGTGGTGTGTCCTCAGCCAAACTAGGGAGAAAAAGCTCAGAGCTTCTCATACCTCATTTCCCTCATTTCCTCTCTAATGGCCTTCTTTACTGAGTTCTCTTGGGACACCCACCCCTCACTCCCACCCCTTCCTCACCATGGGCACCTGCCACCCTTCCCAGGGCCTCCCTGCGCGGAAGCAGCAAATCCGGCCTTGCGCTGGCAGACTTGCTCAGTCTCAGGCGAGGGCCTTTCTGCCTCCTTCGTGCCCCTTTAGAGATGAGGTCAGAAGCTGTCTGTTCTCTTCATTTTACACATGCAGAAATGGATACACAGAAACACCAAGAGGTTTGGACTGAACTGTGTCCCCCTCAAATTCATAGGCTCAAGTCCTGCCCCTCCATGGGATGGTATTTGCAGCGGGTGAGACGGGGTCACGAGGGGTGGGGCCCCATGGAAGTCATCTTCCAAATGAAAAGTGTATCCCCCAGCACAAAATAATAGTGACTATTTATGGAGCTCTTAGGGTGTCAGAGGCCTGACCACTCTTTGGAGTCCTCTCATGTCTTAATTCATGTCACTCTGGTCACCCTCTGACCTGGACGCTGCCATGATGCCCGTTGTACACATGAGGACCTGAGCCATGAAAGCTGTGATTTGCATGATGCATATGAAACAGTTGAAAGCAGAGGTGGGGAAAGGAAGGCGGCCAGGTGGCCTGGGCTCCTGCCCCTCACCTTCCCTCGCCCCCACGCACCTCTCGAAGGACCTCTGCAGAACTCAGCGGTTTCGAAGAGCAGAGTTTAAAACCACAGCAGTAAATAACTAAGGCAGGGTCTGAAGAAATGGTGAAATGGGAGCTGCATTTTGCCGAATCCCTTTGCCTGCTTTAAATCTCTCATCAGGGTACTGAGCCCACGCCCTAAACCCTCCTACCTTCTCCACACATCCCACACTTACCCGCAGGCAACCCATTGTCACAGGGATGCTTGAGTCACATGTGTGGGTACAAACTCATGCACACGCACGTGCACGCCTTCCTGTATTAAATGCTAAGGTTTGCTTCTGAAGCATAAACTTCAAAGGCTGGAATTGGGAACAGAAGCTCTTCCTGCTGCTTGGGAAACTCCTTATCCTTCAAGGAAGATCAACTTGTTCTCTGGGAGATAATTATCTTGCCCCTTTGGTTGTAGAAGCTTAAAGTAACAAATTGTCCTACTTAGCTAATCATCAAATGCATCTTGGTATAAAAAGATCTGTAGCATGTGGCTAAGCCCCTCAATGACATCCTCCTACTTAATTTTTTTTTTTTTTTTTTTTTTTTTTTTTTGAGACAGAGTCCTGCTCTGTCACCCAGCGCCTGGAGTGCAGAGGCACCATCTCGGCTCACTGCAATCTCTGCCTCCTAGATTCAAGCCATTCTCCTGCCTCAGCCTCCCAAGTAGCTGGGATTAGAGGGATGGGCCACCACACCTGGCTAATTCTTGTATTTTTAGTAGAAACGGGCTTTCACTATGTTGGCCAGCTGGTCTTGAACTCCTGACCTCGTGATCCGCCTGCCTTAGCCTCCCAAAGTGCTGGGATTACAGGCGTGAGCGCCACAGCGCTGTGAGGGCCACAGCGCCCGGCCCATATTTTCTGTCATTTTTTCCAAAACATCAAGCATCAGGTTTGAAAGGTCAGTGGATCATACAACTGAAGCTCTCCCGGAGTAAATCCCCCATTCTCCCTCCCCCTCCCCCCATCCCCTCTCCTCCCTCTGCCTCTGTCCAGGCCCTTCACTTGCACCTCTCACCACCCACCACCCCCCAGCACAGGCAGGGCAGTGAGTGAGCTCACTGTGGGCTGTTGGGGAAAGTTCCAATCCCTGCATATTTCACAAGAAATAACCCTCTTCCCAGGAAAGTAACAAGTCCAAGAATAGATTTTTTTTTTTTAGTATTTGGCTGCTTTTATCATGAGACCTATTACTGGTCTGCATTGGTTTAGGGCTGATCATTTAATCCTGGTTTAATCCCACTTGCTGTCAGGCCACGTTAATGCCTCTTGCTTGGCCCTTTGCGAAATGCATCCATGGAGGTGCTCAGCGAGGCTCCGGATCTGGCCTCTGCAGCCGAGGCAGCCGTAGAACTCCATTGTGCTGAGAAGGCAGCTCTTGGATGGCAGGATAGCCCAGGGCTACCTGCTGCAAACTGCAAGACCTGACGTGGGGACCTGCCCAGGACGGTCTCCGTACAATCCCATTGTTTGGCTTGGGGGCCCGTGGTGCAGGTGAGGCCCCCAACCATGCAAGAGGACCGCTTGTATGTGATGACCAGGCAAGAGGCCGCGCAGGGCCCTGCAGGCTTCGGGGAGCATGCTTACATGCCAGCTTTTCACATGATGATCTATCAGATTTCAATTAAACCAATCGCTGCTCTGTTCCAGAACAGTGGTCTCCTCCCTGAATGTCAACTCCAGCCCAGCCCGGGACACAGCCCTGTGTGAATCTGAAGGAGTCACTTGAGACAGAACGAAAGTCACCCAAAGAGCTGAGCCAGGCAGCACATCTGGAGGAGGCTTTAAAGAGACGGTAGGAAAGGAAGGCCCAGGGCCCATGGTCCTGCAGGAAATCCCTCCATCTGTGGGGAAGCAGTGAGGCTGACTGAGAAAGGGTGCTTTCACCCCATGGTCAATGGGAGATGAAGTATAGAGCAAAGCATATCAATTTTCAGGTCAATCCGGGCCTTGGGAAGCAAAAGGAAGCCGCAGTATCTGGTCAATTCCACGGGCAGGACACAGATAGCATTGCCGTTCTCATACAGGTTTCATCAGCATCTCCGGTAGCTTGTCTTCATGTCCTCCATCTCCATTTGGTTGCTGTTGCACACTGGAGTGTGAACTGCAAAAATTCCAGATTGACAACATATCTCGTGAAGGCTCTACAAATCCAGGCACATCTGACAATTTCCAGAAGACTGGAAGGGAGCTCATGATGGAAAGTCGCTGGTAGGAAGTTTGGATGCTGGGAACAAAGACCCCAAAGTCCAGGCAGGCAAACAGGCCAAATGAAAAGACAGCCCAAGAAAAGAAGTAGCCAAGAAGTTTGCTCTGTGATGAGTTGTGGGGAGCGCGGGGGCTCCTAGCAGGTATTTTTTAATTCTTCCATTTGTGTGTTTCCCTGGTGATCCTACAAGTCATGTGAGGAACACGCTCCTGCCAGTGGGTGAAGGTCGAGGTCCTGATGAAGCGCTGCTCGTCATGCTCCAGGAGCGGGGCCGCCCTTCCAGGCTTCTCCTTCCACCTCTTTCCTGAATGCCCCACATCCTCTTTCACCTGGCTCCTCCAATCTGCCCTAGTTGGGCTGTCAGCTTAACTTTCAAATTCGGCTTTGAGTCTGGAGTGTCTTCCTGACCTCCACGGGTTCTTTACTAAGGAGAGAAGGTCTTCTCTTCCCCTGAGACTTGCTGGCACGTATCACTTCAGCAGTTTCCTGGCCTCTCTCTAAGGAGCCTGCACCAGAGGCCCTGGGTGGTGGCTGTAATAGACAGCTGGGGGTGAACACTGCGATGCACCAGAGGGCTTGCAGGAAGCTGGGTGTGTGAGTCCATGCCTCCTGAGGCCTACACAACACACATGGTATGGGGGCAGGTTCTCATTCTTGCAGAGACATGAACAGAGGAGAAGCCTGGTGGTTGATGTCCACAGGTGCCAAGGTGTCCTGAGGCACCAAGTCTTAGCAGCTGCTCCCAGGGGCCAGCATGGAGGTCTCCAGCCACCACCAAGCCACATGGCAAATGAGGACAGTGGGGAAGAAATAACAGACAACACAGGCAAATAAAACAGGCACTTGGGCAAGGCCGTTTGAGGGATAGCATGGAATTTTTTGAACTAGAACTTGAAGGAAGGATGAGGTTCCAACAATCCTTGTGCCATTGGAGGCGGAGCTGCTCTTTGGTGACAACATGATCCTCTTGTGCTCTGTTTACTTAGCAAATACTGATTGAAGTCGGTGAGGCAGAGGACCTGTCCTATCTGAGGAGGTCTGACAGGGAAAGAAGTCAGAAACAGCCCTGGCTCTTGTGAAACTAAGATGGGAAGGAACTGAAAGAGGGGGTAAAACAGAAGTGACGGGAGGAGGCAGAGAGTTAATTAAAAGTGGGTATTCAGGGAAGCCCTCACAAGGAAATGGAATTTGACTTTCAACTGAGTGGCAGGGAAGGGTCAGCACTTCAAGGTTGGGGGCAGAGTGTCCAGGCAGACAGGGGACTCATGCGAAGTCACAAAAGTGGGAATCACACTAAGGGTGTTGTTCAAGGAGCAGAAAGTAGGCTGGAACATAGTCTTGAGTGGTCAACGATGGGATCACAGCGAGGAAGGCGGGAAACAATCATGGATGGTGAAGAGAGGTCTTTCTAGAATTTTGAGTAAGAAAAGACATGCATTGAATATAACATAAAGAGGGAGACCACTTATGAGGCCATTGAATATTCCTGCCTCGAGGTGATGGTGGCTTGGTGCAGTGGATGAGTAAAGAAACATTTTCAAAGTAGAGCTGAATGATTGGCTTAGAAGTGCAAGAGGAAGGGAGGAATTAAATATGACTCTAGGGTTTTGTTCTGAACAATTGAATGAATCGTTTTTTAAAGAGATGGGAAGACCCAGCTACTCCGGAGGCTGCGTTGGGAGGATGGCTTGAGCCCAGGAGGCAGAGGTTGCTGTGAGCCAAAATGGCGCCCCTGCACTCCAGCCTGGGCGACGGAGCCAAACTCTGTCTCAAAAAGAGACGGAGAGATGAGAAGACTAGAGGAGGCAGGGATGAAGGCCAAGAAGTCTGCTTGGTCACATTAGCCTGAGATGGTGATTAAACATGCAAATGGAGGTGTTAGATTGGCAGCTGCATGCATGAGGTGCTTAGCAGAAAAGGTGGAGAGATTTGTACGCTACGAAGAAGCCTGTCTTGATACTTTCCTGCACTGAAAGCCATCTAAGGCAGGGCCAGTCCTGGCTTCTGTTGTCTGTTTGGCAGCTTCTGGACAAAAGGGTCAAAAACTGCATTAATGATGACCACAGAGAAAATGGAAAGGGAGGCTAGCTGTAGGAATTGGAAGATCTAGGTCCCAGTCTAAGTTCTAAACTTGCTAGTTGTCCAACTTGAATTCATATTCATCATCTGTGATATGGAGACATAACACAAAGGATAGTAATTGCTCAATGGATAGTAAGCAAATCCATGTCTGACATTATAAATGGAACCATGAAACCGTAAAAGAACTAACATAACTAACTCCATTTTTGTTTAAGGGGCCTTTACCCATTCCTGCATGGATGCTAGGATAATTTTAGAGCACTGAGATAATACATAAACACAGAAATCATGTAGTTTTTGAAACGCACTCTGAGATTAAAGGTAAAGCATATAAATAATTAACCATGTTTCGTTAAAGATTTACAGATGCCTTGTGACCTCACCAAAGACAAAGAAGTTTCCAAACTCCTCGGACCCTCACGGGCACCCAGATATCTGCAGTCCTAGATCACCTCTTGATGCTAATCCTCCCTTCTTCACCATATCCCCCTCCCATGAAAAAAAAAAAACCCTGACCAGCCTGAAATTTTTGAGATGGTATAAAGGTTTAGAACACTAGCTCACCGCCATCTCCTTTATTTGCTGGCTCTCCAGATAAATCTGCTTTTCCTCCCGCCAACCCTTGTCTCTTGAGTCCAGCTTTCAAGTGGTGAGCAGCCGAAGCTGGGTTCAGTTACATAAAAGTGCTAATAATTACACTGGGGAGGAAGGAAGTTGATGAGCAAATGTTAGGGCTGGTGGATGGCTTTATCAAGGAAAGGCGAGTTCAGAACCACTCAGCCACACCCATCCCAGCAGGGTCACTGGAATGGCTACAGATTGGCGAATCTTCATATCCTTATAGCACCCAGCAGGAGAGGCACATTTAAAAGGCTACTTAACAAATTCTTCTTTACAAAGGCTGTTACAATACCACTTCAGGGGGAAAAGCAAATCACCTTGGGCCTTCTGGCTTTAGGGTTTCTAGTTTTCAAAGAAAGCAGCTGCAGTTGGTGTGTGTGTGGCAGGCGGGGGTGGGGGGCAGGTCCCTTCGATCTGTATCTGTTGGGTTCTTTGTTAATACTATTCTCTGCAGGGCCAGCATGGTCCCACCACAATTCCAGAGTCCTTACCTGACAGCTGCAGCCTAGGGAATTCTACACCCAGTTCACAGTCCTGAGTTCCAGCACTCCAGGCACCCGGCTCTCAAAGCCTGTCCATGGATCGGAAACAGGGTGTTCCAAGACCCTTCCTGAGGGCCTGGGAGGTCAAAACTATTTTCACAGTAATACCAACGTTTTTTGCCCTTTTCACTGTGTTGATATTTGCGCTGAGGTCAAAAGCAACAGGGGTAAAACCAGTGCCTTAGCATGAATTAGGAACTGGGTGCTAGGCATCATGACACTCTCCACTGCCATGTTGTCTCACTAAACAAACAAACAAAAGAGCTGGTTGCACTTAAAAATATCCTTGGAGCAGCAGAATTATTTTTATTAAATGTCAAAGCTTACTTGTACATTTTTAACAGTCTGCTGATATTGAAATGTGATGATTGTCATGAGGAAAGCATTGTGTGATTGATTAAACGAGCAGCAAGGTAAGCTTTTTTCATGGAACATCATTTTTGTTGGAAAGAACAGCTGATGGACAATCCACGATCACTCAGACCTAGTATTTGGCAGACATTTTTTCGAGAATGGATGAAGTGAGCCTGTCACTTCAAGGAAAACAACTGGTGGTATTTGTTGGCCATTAAAAATTTTTGAGCTTCTGAATGAAAATTGGAATTTTTGAAATTTTGTATTTGTCACTGTGAACTTGAGCCTCTCCAGTACCTAGAAGCTTTTCTAATGAGATTGGTGGTGACATTAACGAATGTGATTTTTTTTTTTTTTTGAGACAGGGTCTCACTCTGTCACCCAGGCTAGAGTTCAATGCCATGATCACAGCTCACTGCAGGCTCGATCTCTCTCCCACAATCAAGCAATCCTCCTCCTACCTCAGCCTCCCAAGTAGCTGGGACTACAGGCACACACCACCACACCCAGCTAATTTTTCAATTTTTTGTAGAGACGAGGTCTCACTATGTAGCCCAGGCTGGTGTTGAACTCCTGGATTCAAGCAATCCTCCCACCTCGGCCTCCTAAAGTGCTGAGATCACAGGTGTGAGCCACCACACCTGGCCTAATGAATGTGATTTTTAACCGTTACGTATGTAATTGTTCAACCAGTGAACCAGTATTTTCCAAGTGACCAATGCATGGCGTTACAAAACCATGCATGGGTAACAGATCTGTTCAAAGGGCAAAAGAGACCAGTGGATTTTCATTTAACGGTATGAAAAGGTCTCTGATACGGTCTCAGATTCCACACTGCAACTCACCTTTCAGAAACCACCACTTGTCAAATTCTGATGTAATATCAAAGAAGAATATCCACAATTTTTTGAAAAGACTATTCAAATGCTCCCTCCTTCCCCAGATGCATAGCTGTGTGAGGCTGGATAATCATATGCTCCGAAACATTTTGCCACAGATTGAGCGTAGATGCGGATTTGCTTCTGGAAAGCCAAGCATGAAAGATATTTGCAAAACTATTTTGTAAAGTGCCACTCTTCTCCCTATTCCTTGTCTTGGAAAATAGTTATTTTTCATTTAAAAATGTTGTTTTTCTTTAACTTGTATTTTCAGTTGAGGGGCACAAGTGCAGGTTTGCTGCATAGGTAAACTTGTGTCATGGGGGTTTGTTGTACAGATTATTTCATCACCCAAGTGTTACTGGCTAGTACCATTAGCCATTTTTCCTGATTCTCTCACTCCTCCCACCCTCCACCCTCCAGTAAGACCCAGTGTGTGTTGTTCCCCTCTGTGTGTCCATGTCTTTTCATCATTTAACTCCCACTTGTAAGTGAGAACATGCAGTATCTGGTTTTCTGTTCCTCCATTAGTTTGAAAGAATAATGGCCCCCAGCTCCATCCATGTCCCTGCAAAGGACCTGATCTCGTTCTTTCTTATGGCTGCGTAGTATTCCATGGTATATTTGTACCACACTTTCTTTATCCAGTCTATCACTGATGGGTGTTTAGGTTAATTCCATGACTCTGTTATCATGAATAGTGCTGCAGTGAACATACGTGTGCATGTGTCTTTATAACAAAGCAATTTATATTCCTTTGGGTACGTTCCCAGTAATAAAATTGCTGAAAAATATGTTTTTATGTGAACAAGTAATGGGTTTATTTCTATTAAGTTATAAATATATAAAAATATACTTAAATATTTAAATATTTATTGGTTTTAGTTGTGAACACAGTAAATATTGATATATATATATACCCCACATCAACACGAGCCCTTTGGAGTCCCCAATAATTTTTAAACGTTTTAATGGATCCTGAGACCAAAACAATATCTATTCTGTAGGGAAAGGAGTTGCTATATTGGGGTGAGAGGCTGCAGGGAGAGAGTTAAACAGAAAATAGAAAACATTCCCTCCGTCACAGTTTCCCAACCAGCGAGTTGCGACAGTCTGGCCCATCATGAGGCGGTCCTGTGAGTCACTGTGCACTAAGCAACGCTGTCTAAAATCCTGAGTCTTCTTTTTTTCCTGTTTTTTTTGTTTGTTTGTTTATTTGTTTTTGTTTTTGTTTTGTTTTGTTTTTGAGACGCAGTCTCGCTTTGTCGCCCAGGCTGGAGTGCAGTGGCCAGATCTCAGCTCACTGCAAGCTCCGCCTCCCAGGTTCACGCCATTCTCCTGCCTCAGCCTCCCGAGTAGCTGGGACTACAGGCGGCCGCCACCTCTCCCGGCTAGTTTTTTGTTTTTTTTAGTAGAGACGGGGTTTCACCATGTTAGCCAGGATGGTCTCAATCTCCTGACCTCGTGATCCACCCGTCTCGGCCTCCCAAAGTGCTGGGATTACAGGCTTGAGCCACCGCGCCCGGCCTGTTTTTGGTTTTTTTTTTCTGAGACTGGGTCTTGCTCTGTCACCCGGGCTGGAGTGCAGTTGCACGATCTTGGTTCACTGCAACCTCCACCTCCCTGATTGAAGCAATTCTCCTGCCTCAGCCTCCTGAGTAGCTGGGATTACAGGCACCAGCCACCATGCTCGGCTAATTGTTGTACTTTTAGTAGAGGTTTCACTACATTGGCCAGGCTGGTCTCGAACTCCTGACCTCAAGTGATCCGCCCGCCTCGGCCTCCCAAAATGGTGGGATTACGGGCGTGAGCCACTGCACCTGGCACTAAATCCTCTTTCAACGTGCCTTTTTGAGAAAGACATTTAGGTAAAAGCTAATGTTTGAGCCACAGAGCCATGACCCAGAAACCAGCAGGTACCTGTTGGCCTCTCATCCTGGTCCTTGGTCAAGTGGGCAGGAGGTATGAACATACTCCTGTCCTTGTCCATCAGGGCACTGTCTCAGGGCACCGTCTCGGGCTCTCCAGGAGACTGTGTCGGCCACATGCCAGTGTCCTTCGGTGCTCCTGCCTCCTGTGACTGCTGCTGTATTCCTTCACGAAGATGTCCCTCCAGTCGCTGGGCAGGTAAAGTAGAAGAAAAATGCCTCCTAGAAGCCTCTTTCCACTACATTGTCACTCTGGCAGTCAAATGGGGGAGTGCTTATTGGTTATTAATTATTCTACTTTTCTATACATAATAATAGCTATCACCACAGTCTCATATCTCTGAGAGACATAAAGCTGACCATATTACCAGGCCCTCCACATTACCTAACCTCAGAGAAAGAGAAAGAATATTGGGAGTTCAGTAAGGTATGGAATATTTTTTATCAGGGATGGTTTTTGAATCTTCAGTCATTTCCCCTAATAATAGAAATGATATAGGGCAAATGTAAAACATTTTTAAATGGGCAAAGATACTATATAAGAAAAGTAAAAGCACTTATAATCCTATTATCCAAAGTATCCACTATTAAGAGTTTGGAACATGATTATCTGGGCTTTTCTTCTGTGAATGTATATAAATAAACATATACAAATGTTTTTTTTTTTTTGAGATGGAGTCTTGCTCTGTCGCCCAGGCTGGGGTGCAGTGGCCAGATCTCAGCTCACTGCAAGGTCCGCCTCCCAGGTTTTCTCCATTCTCCTGCCTCAGCGTCCCGTATAGCTGGGAATACAGGCGCCCGCCACCTCGCCCGGCTAATTTTTTGTATTTTTTTTTAAGTAGAGACGGGGTTTCACTGCGTTAGCCAGGGTGGTCTCGATCTCCTGACCTCGTGATCCGCCCGTCTCGGCCTCCCAAAGTGCTGGGATTACAGGCTTGAGCCACCGCGCCCGGCATACAAATGTTTAATACATGAAATCGTATCACACATACAGTTTTCTATCTGCTTTTAAAAAATTGTCCATGGAGACCTTTTCATCACTATATCCTCATCCTCATTTTAAAGGCTGTGTATTATTTCACGGTGCGGAGGAAAGTCTTTTAAAGACTGTGTGTTATTTCACGGTGCGGAGGAAAGTTCAGGTATTTGTTACTCACCTGCTGTTGTTGGATATTTGGGTGATCTAGAGTGGAGATATTTAAATACTTTTAAAGTGCTTTTGGGATGTGAATTCTAATACTCAGGCATCGGGCACCAGTGTACAATCAAAAGCCCCTCTCAGAAGGTGACAGAAGGTCCCCATGTCCCAGAATTAGCTCCAAGAAAACCCAAAATGAAAAACGGACCTTGATCCCCAGCTGAGTTTTTCACAGGGTGACCTTGAGCAAGCTGTGCGTGCAGCCTAGCCTTTGCCGGGTCTCCCCACCACAAAAGAGCTCTCCGGAATATTCGAGGAGGGGTGGGACTCCCAGGAACAAAGCACACGCTCTTTCTTGCACAGCCCCCCGTGGACAAAGCTGGAACCTGGGCCCCGGGTATGCTCCCGGCCTGCAAATGGAGACGCTGCTTCATTATTCTCTCTAAATGTAAACTTTATTATCAGCCCCTCTCCTACCCCAGGGAGTCCTGGCCAGCCCATCTCCCCACTGCCCTAGAGCTGTTGGGGTGTGAGGTCTCAGGCAAGGCCGAACATTCCAGGGCAGGGAAAGAAGGGGAGGGTGGGTTCTGGTTACCAAAGTGTTGCCCACACACGTGGCTTCCAAGATGCCCATCGCCTCGTTCCCTCCACCCACCGCTGGGCCCAGGGCTCTTTGCCAAAACTGCCTGTGGCCGCCATGTCCCTGACCCCTGCTCCTCTGGGTCCACAAACTTCTCTTCTAAAGGAAAGGATTCCATGGGGATGGAGGGATTCTTCAACCTTCCTGCTTCCTCCTGCCCAAACCCTCAGGACCCAGGCTTTGTGGGCGCCTTCAGGCAGGCAGGAAGGGGAGGACCCAGGCTTTGTGGGTGCCTTCAGGCAGGAAGGAAAGTGTCTTGCAGGTGGCTTCAATATTCCCCCTACCACAGACCCCTCCAGACCAGAAGGACAGACTTGCCTCTCCCTGAGTAGAGAAGGGAAGGAAATCCAGAGAGAAAAAAAAAATGAATATCCAAGCCCTTCTCCTGCCATAGTCTCTCCCCGGCAAGTCCAGGTCCTCAAAAGGACACTTTCTTTCCCATTCAGGTCCCTGCCCCACCCCTACACACCCAGCAAAAAATAGAGTGGGTCCCATGTTTCTCCCCCAGTGTGGATTTCCTGGATTCCCACAGGTGAAGCGCCTGCTCCTGCCTCTTTGGGGGTCATGTCCCCAGGCCCCCTGGGAGTAGGAGCCGAGTCTGTGCTGTGAACACCCCACCATCCCCCTGAGCAGGTCTCCTCCTAGAGAGGCCCTCCCCTCAGCCCCAGCTCCGTGCTCCCTGGAGCTCCTGGGGCACCGTGGACCAGACTATGAAGTGGGACTTCCTGACTGAGCCCTTCAAGGGCTCCTTTGTCTCTCCTCCTTGTCCCCTCCCTCACAGGCCTGCAGCCCCCCTGATCATCTGCCAGCGCTTGGCCCCGCCATGCCCACTGCAGCCTAGACGGCTGCTTCTCAGCAGAGGGTCTGTCCTTGACCAGGCCGAAAGGTGACCTCGGGGTCCTGTCCATCACCACCTTGTATGTCCGTCAGCATTTATCAACAATCCCTAGTTACCTTGTTTGCATTCCTCGATTAGTTTACCTGCGAACTAGCTGTCTTGCTAGTTAACCTCACGAGAACTGGGGGTGGCTTGCGGGTCCCACTGTGTTCCCAGCTTCCCGAGTGACACTGCACATAGTAGGCACTCAGTAAATATCTGTGAAAGGGTGGATGAGTGAATGGGTTGGAGGAAACCCCTCCCTATTCATGTCCATTCTGAAGATAAGAAAACTCCCCGCTTCTACCTGAAGGAAAAACCTTCCTCCTCCAAAAACCCTCAGGTGCTAAAGACGGCTTTAGAAACCCAAGGCAAGGAAGTTTCTTCCATCTGCCTTTCATCCGGCAAAAAGCCCTCCACTCAAGAGAAGAAAGGGCACTGGAGTTAATTGAGGGGGAGACAGGGAGCAGGTGGGAGATCCGGAGGGAGGAGAGAAAGGGGAATTCAGGAGGATGGAGTCCAGCGTGGATTGCTCCAAAGCTTGCCCACCACGCCCTAACTGCAGGTGCGATTCCGGGGCCCCTGTGGCTCTGCTGGGTCCGGGTGCAGGCAGGCACAGAGGTGCTGGCGTCAGCTCAATTCGCAGGCCCCGGACTCCTGTCTAAACAGGACAGGCTCGGGCAACCGCAGGGCACGGGCGTCTGCCAATGATGGGGGAGGACTCTGCTGCTTCTTAAGCTCCAGCGACTCAAGCCAGGGCGAGACAGCCCGCCGGCCGCCCAGATCTCCACCTGCCACCCCAGAGCTGGGACAGCAGCCGGGCTCCGGCACTGGGAGGGAGACCCCGCCGTGGCCTCTTCTGCCACCCACGCCCCCACCCCTGGCATGGCCGACCAGCTGACAGAAGAACAGATCACAGAATTCAAGGAGGCCTTCTCCCTGTTTGACAAGGACGGGGACGGCTGCATCACCACCCGCGAGCTGGGCACGGTCATGCGGTCCCTGGGCCAGAACCCCACGGAGGCCGAGCTGCGGGACATGATGAGCGAGATCGACCGGGACGGCAACGGCACCGTGGACTTCCCCGAGTTCCTGGGCATGATGGCCAGGAAGATGAAGGACACGGACAACGAGGAGGAGATCCGCGAGGCCTTCCGCGTGTTCGACAAGGACGGCAACGGCTTCGTCAGCGCCGCGGAGCTGCGACACGTCATGACCCGGCTGGGGGAGAAGCTGAGTGACGAGGAGGTGGACGAGATGATCCGGGCCGCGGACACGGATGGAGACGGACAGGTGAACTACGAGGAGTTCGTCCGTGTGCTGGTGTCCAAGTGAGGCCGGAGCCCACCATGCTCCTGGGCGCCCGCTCGGCCCGCAGGGCAAGAACCCGGGGCCTCTAGCCTCCTCCTCCTTCCCCGCTGCCTCCCCAGGGCAGGGTGGCGTCTTCCTGGGCCAGGTTGATTCTGCCCACCTCTCTGCATCCCACTTCCCGCATCTCTTCTCTGCGCTCCTGCCCACCTTCCCACCTGCTCATCTGAACGACATGGAACTCTCCCGCTCCAAGCAAACCGTGGAACCCTCCCCACTCGGGAGAAGCAGAGCTGACCTTAGGACCAAGCACCAGGGCAGGTTGCGCTGACTCTGCGGCCAGTCAGGATGGACACAGGGTGACCCCTTAGAGCACGCAGGCAAGATCCCTAACAGGCACCCAATGCCCAGGCCAGGGCGGCTGCAGCCCTCAGCCCACGCCAGGATTCCCGGAGGCTCCTGGACTGGAGGCTCCCTCCGCAGTCGGATTCTGGAGGGTGGGAGGCCTCTTGGCCTGCGGTAAGGGGTGCTGATGGGGACTGTGGCCACAGAGGTTAGGCCTCCTGAAAACAGCACTGCCTTCCACGCTGCCCCAGCTTGCCCCTTTCCTTGTCGGCCAACCCACCGTGATTCATCCTCTGAAGCTGGGAGTGAAACCGGGTCAGCTGTAACCTGTTCCTATTCATCTGGAAGGAGGGAGGTTTGGATGAGCAGGGGAGGGGAGCTGCAGGGAAATAAATGAGATATTCGTTCTTATTTCATTTCCTTTTTTCTGGTTCCCATGGAAATGATCCTTGTTACATTCAGCGTTGAAACGAGGCAGGAACCTCCATTTTTGTGCTTTTTGAAAATGCAATGAATTCCTTTGGTGGGGTGCGGTGCCTCAGAGAGAGAGAAGTCTGGATGAGGGAAATCTTGAATATTCTCAATCAAATGGATACGCTGGCAGCAAAGAGTGGTTAAAAGTCCATCAGGACTTGAAAGACCTGAGTCCATTATGTTGAGAAGGGACCTGCTGATTGTTTTTATTCCCCGTGGCAAGTGCTCCCTGGTTGTGAAGTGCCAGGCACTAGAAGATGGTGGGGGGCACGCTGGGCACACACAGGGTAAGAGCCATGCAGAGGTGTTAGTCCTGCCCTAGCCCTGCAAGCAGCCGGCAACACCCAGAGAAGGTTGAAGGGGCCCTGCCAGAGATCCCTTCAGTTCTAAAGGGAGGTGTGTTTTCCAGGGTGGGCCCTAGACGGAGCTCATCAGAAAAGGCCATGGTGGATGCATCCTCTCTCCCTGACACCCACCCCCGCCCACCACCACCCGGTGTTTCCTCCTTTGTAAAACAAAGAGCTGGGCCCCAGCCCCGGCCTTGCCATCATCACTGTGCCACTGGGACCTCCAGGACGACAGGACCCTCGTGCCACCTGCTTGGGCTCAGGGCACCATAAAGCACTTGGCCTGCATAGACACTTGGCACCTCCCTGTGGGGCAGCCACTATTATTACCTTCCTCATCTTACAAACAAGGAAGTGCAGACACAGAGGGATTCAGAAAGCAGCCCTGGGTCCCGCCAGTGGGTAAGAGGCAGACCTGGGATTTCAGTCAGGCCTGTGCCCCGACCACTCAGCTACAGGCCCACCACCAACCTGTGCCCCCACCGTGGTGATTACACGAGTGCCTCCCTCCAGCACTTGTGAGGAGGCAGAGCAACATTCTTAACACACCCGGCAGGTAGTAGGCGCTTCATAAATGACAGCTACTATTACTATCACCTTAAAGATCCCTTCCTGCTCTAATACTGCAAGGCTTTCCGGGGCAGCCACCCCTCTCCATAGCTGGAGAACAAAACAAGAGCAGAAAGGGGCAGAAGCAGGTGCCCTGGAGCTGGATTCCTGAGGGGATGCTGGATGGTGGGGTCTCAGGTGAGCACTGGCCCAGGGCAGGTGTAACTGCAGGTACTCCTGTCAGGGGAACAGAAGCAGAGGGCAAGCTAAGGCTCAGCTTGCTGAGCAAATCTCCCCCCGCCCTGCCACTCTCAGGAGTTGGGGTTGATTGGACACATCCTGGGGAAGATTTGGGAACAAGCCTCATAAACCCTTGGACAGGGTGTCTAGTGGTCATTGGGCAGCAGCTCCCCAGGGGGTGGGGGCTGTGAGCAGGAGGGGCAGGAAGAAGCCCCCACATGGCTACTGACCACGGCCAAAAGGAACAGGACATGGGGCCTGAGCACCTTTTGTAGAATGTCTCCTCAATTCTGCAAGAAGGAGAGAAGCTGAGGTCTCCCTGCACAGGGCATCTTTGTAGTCACTGTCATACACATGACTGAGATTTGACATCAAAGCCCCCTCTTCCAGCTGCAGGCTTGAGGAAGCTCTTACAAGGGTTGGGACCTAGGCACTGCCAACGCCTGGGCTAGGAGGGCACGCCAGCGTCTTTATTTGTTTTCCTCCCAGCCTCCCAGCGATTCCACCAGGGCAGGTCTTTTTGCAACCCCACATGCCAGTCATTCTGGAGCCACCTGGGCCTGGATTTTGCAGGTGCTGGGAGCCTTTCATCAAGAGCTCTTTGTGCTCAGGCAGGCGCTGGCTTGGGTGGTAGAAAGGTCCTACCTACTCTCAGCTTAGAGCTGGCAGCCCCAGATCCTCTCTGAGGGGGAGTCCTCAGAAGCAGAGTAGTAAATGGAGTTGTCTTCTTTACACAGACAGAAGCCCAAGGCAGCAAGGTCAAAGTGGATCCTGTGGCAAACCCCTCCCACTTGGTGTTCAAACACTTTTTTTTTTTTTGAGATAGGATCTTGCTCTGTCGCCCAGGCTGGAGTGCAGTGGTGCAATCACAGCTCACTGCAGCCTCAACCTCCCAAGCTCAAGTGATGGTCCTATCTTGACCTCCCGAGCTCAACTGATCAGCCTACCTCAACCCCTAGAGTAGCTGGGACTGACGGGTGCCACCATGACCCACTAATTAAAAAACAAAAAATTGCAGGGGGATGGTCTTTATGTTGCCCAGTCTTGCCCCAACTCCTGGCCTGAAGTGATTCTCCTGCCTTGGCCTCCCAAAGTGCTGGGATTACAGGCATGAGCCACTGTGCCCGGCCTTGAATATGATTGTTCAGTAACATCTTCTGTCATCCCTTCTCCTTGAAACTGGGTCACTGCCCTCACCACAGTGAGTGTTGCCTGCTGCCGCATGGCTCCGCCTCCTTCCAACCTTCTGTGTTGGAGTAAGGAAGGCCAGGCCAGAGGGGGACACAGCCCTGACAATGTTCTCTGGCACTGTCCCTTCTGCCTCAAGGGGTGTGACACCCAGGGAATTCCCTGCCCTCACCAGTGGACCCCAAACCCACAGTGTGGATGCGTCTCTCACCACGCTAGCATTGCTGACCTCCACGGCATGGCATCAGCTACTCTACCCAATTTACCCAAGGCAGCGACTGTGTCCTATCACACAACAGCCTCAGATTCCAGGTCTACCTGGGGCACACCTGGGCCTGTCTTTAGCTTCCTCCCATCTCCCTTTATATTATTTTCCCTTCTTCTTTCCCACCCTGGTCAGCACTTCCAAAGAGCCTGCCCCAAACCCAGATGTCAAGGTGAACTTTTGTGTTGGTAAAATGTGGTCACTCCAGCTGCCAGGGCTCGGTGCTTGCCTGTTGGACATGGGCAAGGGGAGGCCTGGGGGCTGGAGCAGGAGGAAGGAGCCACCCAAAAGGGCATACAGGGCTCCCCAGAGGAACCCAGCCCTGCGGGTGGAGCTTTCTTCCGCCCTGGGTTCTTCTGCCGCAGGGACTTAGAGGCAGTTGCCCAACTGGCATCTCCCTTTCCTTTCAGTCATTGAATAACCGGATTTAAACAACCTGCCCTCAACCCCCAAAAAGGTGCAATCTGACTGCAGCTCAAAACAACATTCCAGCCATCCTAGGGGAAAGGAGTTTATAAATATTACTTGGCTTCCATGTGCATCACTGAGCTCCTTCATAAATCAGGGCTTGGGGCTCCTGCACTCCCAGACTATACAAAGCTCGCCTCTGACTCCTGTGTTTCCAATTTTAAATCAAATGCAGCCCAGCCCTGCCGGCTCCTGTTTATCCTCAAAGATTCCAAGGGCCTGTTCAAAGGCTCCCAGAACCAGCCAGCTAAAAATGACCCATGGCTTCCGCTAGAGAAATGTATTATCAAAATTCGTGTATGGGGTGACACTGCTCCATGGAGAATGGTAGCAATGGGGAAGATGAGTTGTGTTTCTCCACCAAAAAACAAAGGTACATAAAGTAAGACAAAAACCAAAACCACCTCTGAGAAAGGTCTGGCCCCAAACCATGTGTCAACCTCCTCACCATCTTGCTTTTCTGGTAGTCGTTTCCATAGCAACAGGTTCTCAGATCGGAGTCTGGACTGGGCAAGAAAGGGAAGTGCCTGGGAAAGGCCTCCTCTGAGCCCTTTCTAACAGGGACAAGGCTGGGTGCTGAGTACTGGGTGGGACAAGCACCTTCCTCAAAGTGCAGGGAAGTGAGAAGCTTGAAACAGGCCTAGAAACAATGGCTGGGTTTCCATAACAATGGCAGGGTTTCCATAATCAGAGGAGAAAGTACCTATTGGAACAATAACAGAAGGAACCACACACAGTCCCTAAACACCTTCTTTAGGTCTTTCATGTCTTTGCAGTGTGTGCAGAACTACCTGGGAAGGGAAGGGAGCCAGGCTCTTAGCACATAAGGAGATGAACATCTGAAGGGTGAACATCAGGTGGGCCTAGGCCTCGGAGAGCCAACTGGGTGGCCTTGCACACCTTGGGGAGCTGAACATCCAGGGAGTGACTTCCTGAAGACTGACCACATGTGGCCGTGCTGGCCCATGGTGACGTTCATCTCCCGTCATCACTAAACAAACCAGTCTCGCCTATAGCTCACTGCATACCTGGAGACTCTGGTCTGAAGGCCCCCCACGATAGAAGCTCAGCCCTCACTGGGGCACACTGTTGGGAGGCACCTGTCTTGCATTTCATTGCTCCTTTAATCCTCTGAACAAGTCAGTGCAGTAGCTTGTTTTAGCCTGTTTCAGAGAAGAAAAGATTAAGACTTTGAGACTTTGAATAACTTCTCCAAGGCAGTATATCTAGTGTATCACGGTTTGACCCTGGGTCCGACCAGCCCCAAAGCTTGCATCCTTCCCACTGTGCCAGAGAGTTCTCAGAGCAAGGAGCCTGAGACCGAGAGGCGCTGAGCTCACAGAGGTGGTGAGTGCTGGACAGACCTCGGTAGCAAAGGCTTGGAAGTGGGAAACAGCTGTCAGGCAAGATTTGTCTGGGCAGAGAGGACCTAGAGAAAAGAAAAGGCATTGATCGATGCCAGGAACGTCCAGGAGCCACAGGACCCATCGTATCTGGGTGTGGGCATCTGTAGGGGGAGTGCTGGTGGACTGCCCACTTGCCACGTGAAACATGACATCTCACTGCCCCTCTGGCCCACCACTGGACCCCGTGCAGGTGCTGGGGCCTGTGCAGTCCCAGCAAACAAGAGGGAATCCTGCAGTGGGCACATCTTTGAGATCCAGTCCGCTCCCTGCCCCGCACAGGTGCATCTGTCTGCAGCCAAAGTGCTGCACAAACCTTCGCCATTCATTATTGCAGAGCAGCTGGGAGGTGTCGAGCTTCTCAGCTTCTCACCCAAGCTCACATCTTGGGGTGCAGATGATGGGCAGTCAGAAAAAGCCACATGACCCTATTATGGTTGAATTGTGTCCCCCCACCTCCAAAACCTCATATGTTGAAGTCC